ATATAAAACTTGAAAACTACATTTACTTGTGGTAGCAAAAATAAATTATGGTGATTTAGATATTCAAATGGAAAAATATGATCTTGCATCTTCACACAAACTTGAACATTTCCTTATTTTTATTTGCTTTACATATAACCTCTTGACAGGAAGAAACACTTTATTGTCTTTCATTCATTTTGTTTAACTTGAGCCTACAAATCGGCTGTTAAAAAGATACATGAAAAATCACACAGTATGTTCAACTCCATTCATCTTTGGTACAAGTAGTACCCAACAATGAAACAACTCTCTTAATGTGTGATCATATATCTACCAAAAATACAACAGAACTAATAAGTGGCTTTGGTTCCTTTACTAATATGTTGAGACTCAGGTAGTCTCTCATCCTAGTTAATCATTCACAATACATTAAGTTAGCTAGAATTGTATTTATTTATTAATTGTATAGCTAGTGTTCTGAAAAAGGTCAAAAATGCTTAGATTGGAAATGTAAACAATCAGACATCACAACAACATCTTCTCAAGCACATGAACTTGGATTTGCTTTGTCCTATAGTTGGCCATGATTCAAAATTAATAGAGAAAAAATGAAGAAACTTAGCTACATTCTAATAGTTCACTTGTTTGAACAAATACAGTCTTCATTATACTAGAAAAGGGTTGTAAGTTATTCTGAAATCAAAAAACCAAGATTTAAAAAGCCATCATATTAAATCTCCAAGACCATACTAATTGAACTATCCAAGTGTGCCAGTTTTGGTCAATTGACCATTTTTTGAAGTCAAAAAGAAAGATGTTTGAAGCTTTTTTTTAAGGTATAAGCAGCAGCTAGGTGATAACAATCTTAACTGTCATATTAAGTAGCATGAATTTTATTCTGAGATTCATGGTGCCAGCTAAAGATTTTTAACTAAGGGAAATCATTGTGACAAAAACACACCCAAGATGAATTGAGGATGATTTAGCACAGGCTAAATTCTGGGAACATGAGCTTTTGTAGTAATTTGAATGGTGGATAGAAGAGAATGTAAAGTCAATCAGGGTCTCTGGAAGAAAAATATGTAACATTATTGGTATTATAACAACAGCTAGAATATAGTTTTATAATCAAACAATTGGAGAAAGGTGAGCTATTTATTTAAGGAAAACACTTCAGTGTCTCTGACTGAAACACTTTCCTGTCTTACTAGTTCTTCTAATTCAAATGATGTCTTTGGGAAATGTTTTACTATAAATGAAATAATTAGCTTTTTGAAAACAAAGAGACATAGATTTTAGTGTAGAACAATTAAATAATAAATACAATCTGGAGAAACAAGTTTTCTAAAAGAAACTCACATTTGGATACCATCATTTGTGAGCGAGCTATATATGACCACTGGAAAAAAATTCTCTTTGAACCTAGCTGTGAAAAGTGAAAAAAGTCTACCTAGTAATTAAAGACACTCATAAGTCACCACAAAAGGGTCACACTCTCAAACAGAAGTAAGGTCAGTCACCTCACTTTACCCACAAAGTAAAAAGGTGAAGAACAAAGATCAATATAACCCAACCCCTTTGCACTTTAAAAATGTAAACACGCCTTTTGATATGTTTTACATTCAAAGTCACTTATCCTTAATGTAATAATAACTGGAAAATAATCTAGGAGCTCTACCAGGAAATGTCTGCCACCTGTGTCCTCTTATTATACTGAACCTGAAATGCTCTAAACTGTAAACGTTGAGTTGGAAGTATACAATACATAATGCTTTCACAAATGCATCCCTCCATGTTCTTCATTATTTGCAAATATTGTCAATATCATTAACAAAACCATCTCTCCTCTCTTTCCTGATAAGTTTTCCACAACAGATTTTCATGACAACTTATATCAGCATTTTTATACATTTATTATTGAAGAAAAGAACTCAAGTATGACAGAATAACTTATTGACCAAAATTTCTCAAATATCTATTTATATCATAAATTAAAATTCTAGATAAAGAGGACATGCCATCCAACAAAAGCAAAATTACAGTGTATGGAAGTCAATTACTATTTCTATAGCTAGTGTCTTAGTGCAACAGTGTAGGTCATAAAAGTAAAAATAAAACAGACCTATTTTAAAATTGTACCAGTCTTCTGATATTGGAATATTATAAAGCAAATAAAGGAATGAGTATAAAATTTGAAAAAGAATTTCAGTTAAAATTGTTCATCCACATATTTCAATAAAAATATGAGCTAATGTGAAGGTGTATAGTTTATAAAAATACTTAAGTTTATTAAGAATGAGATTTGTGACAATAAGACCAAATGCAAACCACGTGATAATTGATTTATGTTTTCTGGAATCACAGCACTTAAGCACAGTTTTACCCTGGTGACTGCTCAGTGGTATTCTACATTAAGAAATAGTTTGATATTATTATCTCAGGTTCAAATATTAATTCACTTATGAATTAATCTAAGCCTCCTGATCTAGGTAACCCTTAGTGATCTGAAAAGATGCATTCCTGAACTCAAAGTCTGCAAAGAAAAGCACTGACTGGCCAATCACAAACAGAAACTTGCAGCAGGATTCATGAAAGAAGTAGAGTTCTCACATATTTTTATTCTGTTATTGACTGGTGCCATGTAAAACTTACACCAGCCAAAGCCCTAAAATGCATGGGTTTTAAAATGTCAAAAGACGACCTTTCCAGATAGGAACCCTAATTAATGTCTATGGCAGCACTGGATCACAAGAGCAATAGGACGTGCAGAAATGCCACAGTTTAGTCAGTTACAGAGGTTTTTGTGGAAAGGGGCTGGGAGGATGACATGACGCCACCAGAATAATTTTGGTTCAGCTAAGAATTTGACGTATGACCTTGGCCATTTCTTAACATCTGAGTCTTCATTTTTCTCGTCTCATTTAGAATGGAGAAGGTCTTTTCTAGGTGACTTCTAAAACAAATTTTAGGTCAGTGACTGTCAGCTGATGTTCTTAACTGCTCCTGACCTTGTGCTAATCTTTTTATTCTTTCTTCATCTGAAGATACAATTCAAATCCTCCATATAATTACAACAACATCTAAGTATGAGTCCCAGTGACTGTCAAGTCCATGAACTACTCTTTGGCTAATAATCAATAGAATCAAATTTCATAGTAGCAATACAAGTTGGGCACCTCGTTAAACTTTTAGTTATAGGACCTGGCTTACAATAAAATACAAGACAAGCTGCAGATATCATGCTATATTCTCAGTAAGAAAGATGATAAAGCATCCATCTATTTTATTGTACAAAGACAGGAAAATTGTCACATGATGAGCCTGAAAACAAAATCAAATTATCTCCTTAACCACCCAAGATGAAGAGCACAGTGAAACTTAGCTGAAAACCAAAAAAAGAGAAAAAAATGAAAAAGAAAAAGAAAAAAATACAAAGCAACCTTCATTAGTCTGTGATTTTATTGATATCAATAATTACTTTTCTTTTCAAGATAGGGCTTCTCTGTGTAGCCCTGTCTGTCCTAGGACTAGCTCTATAGACCAGGCTGGCCTTGAACTCATTGATCTGCCTGCCTCTGTCTCCCAAGTAGTGGAATTGAAGGCATATACCACCATGTGCATCTATCAATAATCACTTTTAACATTCAAACTCTTCTTGCAATTATGGGATAATTTTAAAAGTAAAATTTTAGGATTAACATTAGTAATTCCATGTTTGAATATAGCAGTGTAGGGCTGTGATAAAATTTATGCATAGCTTCAAAGACCAGGCCCAAGAGATCATCACTATTTTACATTGACTCTTTTGTGTTCTACTTTGCCTGAAAACAAAACAGATGTGTACGTTTCTGAGGTGGTGTCAGAAGCATATCTCCCTGGAAGTTCGTGGGCAGACAGCAGTATAATAGCTAAGATGCAGGGTTTTGTTTTGTGCAAAGAAAATTGGTCAAAAAGATGGACTTAAACTTAAGCAGGGAGAATTACCACCCTGCAGGTAATTACATCTTTTCTGGGTAGCAAAAACAAGACATATAGTTGCAAAGATTGACTAAATTCAGTGTTCTGTCCTCATATATAATTAAGACCAATTAGTATACTGTATTATTTTTGGTTATTTATATTTCTATTTTTTTAAACTGGAGACACCATCATTGGTGATGTCTCTGATGACTTCATGAGAATTCTGGGAAGTTAACTGGGAAAGAAAGGAGTAAATGTAATCACTCACTTAAATGAGAAACCAAAAAGAAACATTGAGGGTTAAAATATACTACGTAATGTCAGGAAAAGTTTTCAACAATCAGAGCTACTCGGCTATAGAAGACAGGTCAAAGAGGTGATGGATTCACGGTCAACCTGAAAGAACACTCATACTCCTAAGAAGAAGGGCACCCAGCTGGAAAATCCACCCCGGGTGCAGGCAGGACCATCAGGAGCAGCGATGGCAACATGGTCTTCTCCCTTGGGAAGAAAGAGAACAGAAGCAACCTCCTCACAAAACGATCCTCCCTGCACACCCTGGCTCCTCCTGGCTCCGCCCAGTCACACAGATTCCCTTTGCCCTCTCTGTCCTTGGATTAGATCCTTACTCTATCTACTGCCCTGGTGAGTTAGATCTGAGAGTCGGGCCTCACTGAAAATGTCACATCAGGATGGGCAACAGGCTCTGAAACACATCGTAGCTAAAGGGAAAAGTTGGAACAAGAAAAGTTAAGTCAAAAACTGAGGTGAACACAGCAACAGCATCAGGACACAGCCTGGGACTCTTACACGGCTCTCACCTGCTAAAGTAAATCTGTTTGAGGGGGGGGGTCGGTGGAGTGACTGTCAGGGAGGGTGGAAAGATGGGACAAGGGTCTCTGGGCTTTCCCTACCCCACGTGAAGCCCCTTGCAAACTATCTCTACTGAGCTCCTGTCTTCCTCTTCATCTCAGGGGCTGTTGGAGGAAAGAACCAAAGTTGGAAGGAGAGTTGAAAGAGTTGAGGCCACAGGGAATGGTGTTAGATTCGGGTCTTACCCTGGCGGCTCTGGATGAATAGGGGTCCTCAAAGAGGGCCCACATGCGGGGCTGCAGCCTCCTCCAGCGACCAGACTTGCCATCGGGTCCTCCCAGCCCCGCAGCATCCTCGATGCCCAGCCTCTTGGCCGCTAGGTCCTCGTCGTCACCAGGGTCGCCCCCGATGAGGTCCGGCGTCTCGAAGATGTCCAGTGCCTCCTCCGCGTCACGGTGCTGCCTGTAGGTCATCCAGCAGCAGGGCTCCACGTCGGTCTCGTCGATGCCCCAGAAGGCCAGCTCCTCCTCGAAGAGCGGCCCGCACACGTCGGCGGGGCAGTGCAACTTGCCCGTGCGATAGTAGTTGAGCACATAGGCAAAGACGCCTGGGTGGCGATCGAAGAAGAATTCGCGGCCTCCCCCAGGGTGGTCGCTGCCGTTGCCACCGTGGGAACTGCAGTTGCCCGCGCCGCCCTCGAAGCAGCTGCTGGGGACAGGGGACAAGGGAGGCGGTCGCGGCGGCGGAGAGAGAGGAGGGGGCAGCGGCTGCAGCTTGTCACCCGCGGCGGTCAGGCAGTCGCCCTGAGGTTCAGAGGAGGCAAGGAGGGCCAGGCGAGTTCCGGGAAGGGTCTTGAGGGTGCTGCGGTAGGTTTCGTGCCGGGTACCGCCGACATTGAGGATTACCCTCTCGTTGTTCTCGATCTTGCCCATCTCTGTGGCTCAGACATGACTAGGGAAGGCGAACACAGCACCAAGTTAAAGCTCTTGCGGATCATATACTCACCATGACCCCTCCCCTTATCCCTGCCTCAACCCAAGGGTGCCAAGATGCCTAGCTGGCAAGTGGGAAGGGCCCTCCCAGGAGGAGCCTGGTGTTCGGTTGTCACCGCCTCTTGCATCATGCCTGGCCCAGGCTCCCAAAGAACGAAGAACAGTTGAGTGTTCCTTGACCTTCCAGGAAACCTTTTCTCTTGCGGCACACAGTCCTCTCCTTCCTTTTTGCCCTCCACCATGTATCTCCTCGATCCCTGTCACATCCAACCTGCTCTGAGTCCCCAAGACCCTCTTTTCTTCCCCAACCCCTCCACTGCGCACTCGCCAGCCCTCTTTCTCCACCCGTCTTTGCTCCAGTCTCTTCCTCTCCTTAGATGGGTCCCCTGCTCCGCTATCCCATATCTCTCTCAGCCCCATCAATTCCCCATCAGGGAGTTATGTTCGCTAAGGCAACTTAGCAGTGCTGAGCGGGGGCCCTGGGGTGCCCCAGCTGCCTGCGTACCCTTTGCCAACCCTGGACAGCTCTCTGATCTTCAGCGCTAGGGGAGTACCCTCTGCCTGCTCTGTTCTTGGTTCACTCCCCGCACCCCCCCCCCACCTCTCACCTACCAGGCAGAAAAGCTGGAGACAGAAGTCACAACAACAACAACAACGTCCCTGCTGCTTGCTGCCTTTCACCAAGGAGACCTCTGACTAATTTCCTCATCCAATTTCCTTTTCACATTACTGTTATCGTTGTTGCTAATGTTATTAGTACTTGGGAAAGGAAACGACTAACTAGGATCCATCTTTGAGGACAAAAGTGAGCAATCTATCGCACCCCTCCCCCTTCCCAAGAAAAACAAACATCTTGGGGTGGAGAGCCAGGGGGTTGCTTTCGAGGAGGGGTGAAGCCCTGGAGAAACCGCAGGAGGCACACCCCCTGGCTCCCTGAGCTGGAAGACCGGCTGCTTCCAGTCTCTCCCTAGGGCTTTGCATCCACATTCTTACAGCTAGGCAGGGGGGATGCCCGCCTGCACCGCCCTTCCTTTCTCCCCCTCCTAGTCCCCCCGGATACCTTAAGGAGACAGGGAGAAAAGTGGATCTTCTTGGGTCTCCGAGTGGACGAGGTTTTCCCTGCAGCCGGACGGAGTCTCTGCGGCCAGCTGAGCCGCCCTTCTCAAAGGAGAAACTACTTGTTGGCGTTTTCGGGGTTCAGGTGGTTGAGCCGCTTCTCTGGGTGCCGAGGTCGAGGAGAAAGTCCCCGCCCGCCGCCCGCTGCGCTCCCCGCCTTCACGCTGCTGCGATCTGAGGGCTCTCCCATAGCCACCCTCCGCGCCCAGAGTCACCATCGCGTAGGGCTGGGCGAACCATGGAGCTTGGGGCGGGTCCAGCTGGCGCAGCTCGACCCCGCCGCAGACCTTCAGCCCGGCTGGCTGTGCCTGGAAAGGAGGCTGACCGGACGACTGGGGATGGGGGACGGGAACGCAGCTCACCCAGTCGAAAGTGAAGGCGACCAGCTTAGATTTTGATCCACAGATTTGGTCCTCCCCCCCACCCCCGCCCGAAAGCAGCCTCTGCTAGAGCTGTTCCTTCAGCACCACTTGCCTGAGCACACAGCTCCAGAGTGGGTGGGTGGGTCTGGGGAATCTAGGATGAACAGCTCCATCCTTGCCCCCTCTGGGGCTTCTGCCTGCACTCTTTAGACACGGTTCTCCACACCCGGTCACCCCACTGCCCCACCCCTCCCAAGAAGTGAGGGAGAATCTAAAGCCAATTGCCATCTTTCTCTTAATGACAGCTGGCAGGAGGGGTCTGTTTACAGGTGACAGTGGATAAAGAGATCCACTTTCTCTCTCCACTCAAATGTAGGTCTCCAGTCACCACATCACGGTTATATAAAACAAACCAAGTTTTAAAAGTTGATCCCGGGGACAGGATGCTCCAAAAAGTACAACTTCGGCTTCCTTTTTCGGAAATAACCAAGCAAGAAGCAACACTCTCCTCAGCCACATCCTGCTTAAAGCAACTATCTGCCGGGCCTTGTTTACATTTGCTAGTCCTGACACAACTAAGCATTATAGACTTCAGGGAATACCCAGAAGAAATGTATTGTCCCACAGTTTGAGAATTCAGTGTTGGTCCTTCTGTAGGCCTGAGGATACAGTGTGATCCGGTCAGCTCTAAGCCTGAAGATGCCTGTCTTCTCCCCACATCTCCTCATGTCACTCTCTTCCTACAGGCATGTTGTCTCTGAACCCAAATTCTTCCTTTTTCATAAAGACGTCAATACACTACTCGGAGACTCACGATAACGGTCTCCTTTTGACTTGATCGCCTCTAAGAAGATCCAGTCTCCAAATAAAATCACACTCTAAGTAGTAGACATTAGGACTCAATAGATTGTCCTGGAGAGAGCATGATACAACTCATACTAGTCACATAACCAATAAGAGTATGTTCTGTGTGTATTTATGTGCACATTTCAAGAAGAGACAGAAGGGGTAGGTGGAATGGAGGAGGGGCCAGAGCTAAGAAGGGTACCATTCTATAATTCCATGAACATTGTTAGGACCAATATCCAACAAGGAAGGAAAGTACCAGGATGTAAGTGGAAGAAGACAACTTTGAAGAACAAGCGTTGACCTCCATGTTATTATTTGGTGACTAAGTTAGCTTCAGTAGTCAACTTTGCCATGCCCAGGAAGACAGAGGCTCAATTGAGATATTACCATCATCAGATTGGCACGTGGGAATAGCTATGGGACATTTTTCATTAACTATTGATGTGACAACAGTAAATTCCAATTGCTAGAAAAATTGTCAAATTCAACCATCCAGTCTCTTCTTGTCATAATCTCTTTCTGTCTCTTTAATGTCATAAAGTCAATACAGAAAAAGAATAAGATGTTAGCTTAAATGTAAATAAACTATAGCAATAATAGTAACCCAAGCACTTCTAGTAATATATAGTATTTACTGAGAGCATATCAACTGCAAAATTCTCTGCATAAACTGTGTATTTTAGTTTTAATGAAAGAAATATTTATATTAAAAAGTAGCTTGTATAACTATAGAAAGAAAACTTTTATTTATTTATGACAGGAATCACTAGTGAAAGACTTCATTTTCATAATATCAATTGTATTCTGGGGAAATATGTGAGAAAACCAGCAATTAAAAGGGAACGGTGGAAAGAACTTACACGGAGGGAAATGAAGAGTGGGCACAAGTTTATATGAGCTATTCAGACGTAATCACACAGATCAGACGTTGCCCTTTGGAAGAAGTTGGAATTGTCTTATGATTCAGTGGTTAGAGATTATGACAGAGAAATTTGACAACAAAATGTGATAAAGTAAAGGATGAGATGCATATGCCAAGGGAGAGCTAGTACACAAGCAATGGATGAAAGTCCATTTTTGTTTCCCTGTCAGTCTAAGAGCATCCTAATACAAACATTCAGTGTTCGTTATGTAAGAGAGATGAGAACAGAAAACCCCTCCAGCCAGCTATCTCCACTGATCTTGCTGTAAAATTCAGATAAAAGTGGAAAGACAGCAAAGCATTAAAAGATGATGAGCAAAACAGAGGAGGGGAAAAAAAGTAAAAAAATAAAAACCAGCAGCTCCAGTTTCCTTTCTGACTGATGTGGTGCAAAGGTTGCAAGGACCGTATGAACAGTGCTGCTCACAGGAAGCAAAGGAAATGTGGTTCCCTCTGTATTCTGGAATTAGCATCAGAAAAAGCTACAGAAAGTAAGCATTACATCATCACCAGAACTCTGGATCTCATGAAAATACGTGGTGAGCCCAGTACACTGGTTCCTGCCTCTAATGCCAGCACCCAGGAGGTGGAGAGCCTTGGATTATTTCATCTTCGAGGCTCTAGCCTCACTCCACGATGAGACCTGTAATGATCTGGGCTAGAGAGTGAGATCCTATTCAAAAAGAAAATAAAATACCATGATGTAGAATGACATACTTGTAAAAGTTTAATATCTAAGGAAATTAAATCGTTTAAAGTCTAACAATTTTTAAATGGTCACCCTTGCAATGTCACATATTCATAAAGAGCTCCTCTCTGGTGGATGAAAAATAACCACAATTTCCCATGGGTTGCTTCTTGTGAAGTGACCCCAGACTACTCCACTACGGCAGTCTGCATAAATACAAGGGAAGTAAACCTCTCAAAGCCTGGTGACAAAAGTACAGTTTTGAAAAATAATTTTTGATAAGTATTTGTTTAAATCATCTTTTTTTTTTGGTTTTTCGAGACAGGGTTTCTCTGTGGCTTTGGAGGCTGTCCTGGAACTAGCTCTTGTAGACCGGCTGGCCTTGAACTCACAGAGATCCGCCTGCCTCTGCCTCCCAAGTGCTGGGATTAAAGGCATGCGCCACCAACGCCCGGCTGTTTAAATCATCTTTTAATGACATAGTTTGTTAACTTAGCCAATTCTATACTACCTTAGCAGGGAATCACAGACAAAATTTGTAGTATATAGAAACTGGTTTTTGTTTTGTCTTTTTACAGTTCAGGAGTCTAAGAAGTTCCGGAGGGTTCTAGACTACCATGTGGACCTTTTTACTGTGTTCTCACATAGAATAGCAGAAGGAAGAGATAACTCATTTCATTTAGGTTCTTTGATAACAGTGCAACTCCATCCTTACTACCTAAACACATCCAAAAAGGCCTCACCTTCCAACACTGCCAAATAGGGGATCAAACTTTTCAATACACTTTGAGAACACATAATCAGGCCATAACATTCATGCACTTCATTGACATTCCTACCTAAAGCAGTCATTTATGTGGAATATGATGAGATAGACTTCAATAAGATAAATCCATGATTTTAGGATGTGGCAGTTTCATTTGTATGTAATACATGCTAAGTTCTTCTTGGGGACTGGGGATCTACATAAATATCCATCAGAGCAAAGCTATTTAGTCAATTTGAACTTAACTACTTACTTAAAATAATAATGTGCAAGTGTTCTGAGGAGAAGCATATTATGTTGAAAGAGAAAAAATGTCCGTGTATATAGGGTGGTTTTCACAGATAAATACTTAAAAAGAGTTGAAAGTAGCTTCTTTTGATAGAAACCTGCATCATGGTCTTTGACACCAGCAATTCACCTAAAATAGATGAAAATGAACTGTGGAGAACACTCAGTCCTTAAAGTGCTCGCCCCACAAGCATGAGCACCTGAATTTGAATTCCCACAGCTAATATAAAAAGTCTGGCATCACAGGACCAATATAAAAAGTCCAGCATTGTGGGGCATGCCTTGGATTCTCAGTGTTAAGCAGGCAGAGACAGGACAATTCTTGTGGCTCATTCATTAACCAGTACAGCCACACGGTGAGCTCCAGTCTCCATGAAACTGTCTCACAAAATGAGGGGGGGGGGAAGTAATTGAAAAAGATACCTGTACCAGTTAGTGTCCTACACAGAGAGAGAGAGAGAGAGACAGAGACAGAGACAGAGACAGAGAGACAGAGAGACAGAGACAGAGAGAGAGAGAGGGACAGAGAGACAGAGAGAGAGAGACACAGAGACAGAGAGACAGAGAGAGAGAGGGACAGAGAGAGACAGAGAGAGAGGGAGGGAGAGAGGGAGGGAGGGAGGGAGGGAGGGAGGGAGGGAGGGAGGGAGGGAGGGAGAGGTGCAATAGATCATGATGCCTAAGGTAGCTACCCTCTATATAAGGATTTAATTGTTGGCAGATATCAATAAAGTACACTCTCATTGTTTGTGTGACTCGGTCATAGATGTTAAATAAGATGTGATTCAAGTATTTTTAGTATTTTCTTGTTTTCTACTCTTATTTCACTTATATAACTTTATTTGGTTATCCATCATTACTGATTCTCTTTCTAGCATTTTCTTTAAAATCAGTCATGGAATATTACTGCACATTAAAGTCTATTGGAAAAGTTCTAGTTACATCCTTTGAAAAGCATTTTTTTAATTTATTTATTCTCTTAAATTTCATTTTACATTCCAGCAACAGTTCTCCCTCCCACAACTCCCACCCACCCTAGCTTACGGGGAGGGGGTCTCATGAGGAGTCAACAAAGCTTGGTATAATAGGTTGGGGTAGGGTCAAGCCCCTCTCCCATGCATTAAGACTGAGCATGGCATCCCACCATAGGGAAAGGGCTTCAACAAGCTAGCTTATGTACCAGGTTTGTATTGTGGTCCTACTGCCAGGGGTCCCTCAGCTAGTCCAAGCTTCACAACTGTCTCCCACATAAGGAGGGCCTTGTTTGGTCCCCGAGAGTCTCTACAGCTGTCAGTCTAGAGTTCATGAGTTTCCATGAGCTTGTTTCAGTGGTCTCTGTAGATTTCTCCAT